GTCAGAATTTAAGAGACGATTAAGAATTTGTTTGGTTTTTGAGAAGAAGTTCATATAAATGCAGGTATGTTTGAATAGCTATGAAAGCAAAAGGGAGGCTTTCATGTGTTGTAGGGCTTGTGGTTCTATTCTGGAGGATGGGGAGTCACATAGACAAGCATATTTGCAATGGAGACCGCCCTCCCTCAAGAAAACGTACAAGTTTTATCCCTGCAAAGGGGAATGGATGACATTACTGGTTGGTATTTCCCATGTCAGCCAATTTCTCTGACCCCTATCCATTATGTTAACGTTCTTTTCTAGCATGCTGGATTAAAATCTGGATCACGTGCGCTTAACTTCATCCATTATTCATAAACCTTGATTGCTTCTGACATTAGTGTATGAACAAGGAGGTCTAGAAGATATTCCATGCCTTGTTTAATCATTGAAACTTCCTGTTTATCATTTAGGTACATTTTCCAACAATTGCAGCCTTATTGCTTAAGGATAGATATACGATCAACAATCCTTTGTAGAGACAAACAGTACAGTGTGTTCAGGCAAATTGTGTTTTTTGACCTGGCACCAGCCCCCCAATTCATATAGATTATCTTCAGCATCTGTAATGAAATGGAGTCCGAGGGTAAACTCCGGGCTTGGTGGGGGTGTTGTTTGTCTTACAGAGCAAACACTTGAAGCAGGATTTATGGAAGCAGAGGGCTGTGGGTCAATAGTTAAAAAAAAAAAACCTTCAAATGTAAACAGGCAGAGTACTTTCTGAGCTGTGAAGGAGACGAGAAAGGAGACTGATGGGGTGGGGGGGGGAGCAGGAAGACAATTGCAGACTGGTTTTGTAAAATCGTCCACATCTGAAAGGAATTAAGAGAGAAGTGAGTCCGAGAAAGGCCAATTCTCCTCCAACTCCAACCCTGGAGAGCCCTTCCTCCCCATCTCCTGACAGGGACTGCACAGTAAACATTTCTCTCAAAAGCCTCCCATGTTCTCTTCTTAGCTGGTGTTCTAGACCACTGACACTAGAATCAGTGTGTTAAACACCAGGACCAGTACACAAATAACTCAGGGATACGTACAGTGATTGGCTTTTGTTGCTATCATAATTCAATGAGGAAAGTTCAGGGCATCTGAATTCAGAGCAACTGCAAGTGTTTGCTCAGAGCAAAGCCATACTCCAGCCTGAAGAAGATGCAATTTTGCCACAGCCCAGTCTGACCAAGTGTCTTTAATAAGGATCAAAGGTTCTGTGTGGTAATTTTAATCTCCTCAACGTGTTCCTTGTTTATTTTTCTCCAGGTAAGTCTTCAAAAGAGTCAAATTAATATTACAAACAGTAGAGGGACTGGAATTATACGTGGCACCCCAAGACCAAGTTCTCAGCACCAAGGGATTTATTTGCCCCAGAGTGACAAAGGGCAGGGAATAAGAGACAAAGACAGGAGATAGAGGATGGGAGAGAAGGGGAAGGGAGCAAGGGAGAGGAGGAAGGAGTATTTGTTCCACAAAGACAAAGGACTGCCTCTGGATAGAGAGAAGACAGACATGGCCCAAAGAAAAATGGCAGTTTATAAAGCTAAAAGGGGAAACCCCATGTTAGGATGAGTTGGTTTGTTTTGATTGGACATGTTAATTAGAGCAGTAAAAGGGGGGGCTTTGATGGCTGGACTTCAATACTTTAATAGCTGGACTTTGGTAGTCAACCTCAGGAGGAGGAAGTGGCCAAAGAAGGAAATAGACCTTGGTGGCTAGCTTTAGGAATGTAATTTAATGGTTTTTCCACAAGGCAGAGAGAATGCGGGAGAAAATCAAGGCCTGCCAGAGACATGTTTGCCATGCTTGGACTAGCTTGAGCCCCTTCGCATAGTTTCACAGACTAAAATCTAAATCTCAGTATTCAAGGAATATTTAAAACCCAGAAGCAAAGAAATAAAAATCTCTCCAGTTGAGGCAGGCAAGGTTTCAGGATTTGGGAAAATTCCACGGCCGGGTTCCTTCCCCCTGCCCTTAGTACATCAAGTCAGCCTTCTTCAAACAGGCGTGCCTTGTCAACTGTGACCTTACATCACGGATAGGGAACAGAAGGGTGTTGTCCTTGGTTCTCTAGCAAGACAGAAACTCTAGGCTACATTCAGGGAAATCTCCCCATATCTTTTGTTTGTTTGCTTGGTTTGGTTTGTTTTTTTGAGACAGGGTTTCTATGTGTAGTCCTGGCTCCCTGGAACTCACTTTGTAGACCAGGCTGGCCTCAAACTCATTGAGATCTGCCTGCCTCTACCCCCCAAGTGCTGGGATTAAAGGCGTGTACCACTGAGGATTTCATTAAGGACAGTGATATTCTCATTCTCGTTATTCTCACTCTTGCTGACTCCTGCCCTCCCTTCCTCATTCTACTGCCTGCCCTTTTTTGTCCTTTCAGATTCTAGGAGGTCTGATTAGTTTAATTTTTGGCTCTTCTGATATCTGAGATATTGTTTTTGTACATGTGCATTTTATTAAAACTTTATTATAAAGAAAATGTGAACAAAAGGCATCATGCACTAAAATCAACCAGACCAGAAGTCCATCTATCTCAAGTGAATGTCTATTCAGTTAGAACAGCTGTTCTGAAGCTGGGCAGCTTCTTGTTAGACTTCACCGCTGTAGGATAGTGCTCTTGTACACCGTAAACATTTGTCACTCATATGGTTTAATAAAATGCTAATTGACCAGTAGCCAGACAGGAGGTATAGGTGGGGAGACCAGACTAGGAGAGCCCAGCTAGCTCAGTAAGTAGATCATGATACTCTTAATCTCAAGGTCATGGGTTTGGGCCCCACATTGGGCATCATTTGTAGATGAACATTTCTATCCCATCTGGTCCCACAACCATTCAGTCACAAAAAAAACACACAGAAACTTATATTAATTATAAACTCAGGCTTATTATTAATTAGCTCTTACAACTTAAATTAACCCATAATTCGTTTCTATGTTTATCCATGTAGCTTCGTACCTTTTCTCAGTAAAGCATTCTTATCTTGCTTCCTCTGTGTCTGTGTAGTGACTGCATTTCTGCCTTTCCTCTTCCCAGAATTCTCCTCGTCTGGGCACCCTGCCTACACTTCCTGCCTGGCTACTGGCCAATCATCATTTTATTTAACCAATACAAGTGACAAATCTTTACAGTGTACAACACCATTATACCATTTTACTTCATGTTTACCATGGAGGTATTTTTGGTGGTACATGAATATGTTAAATAGTATCTGCAATTTAATGATACTCCAATTAAAATGTTTATTTAAATTCTATATCTAGATAAGGAAACCATGACTCACATTTGAAAAAATCAAGAGTTTGGTAGTACTTCCTAGGAAGTGTGGTTAAGTCATTAGATGAAATATAAAAAGCAATTATTTTTTAATTTTCAAGAGGACCATGACATTCAGGTATAAGACATTATAATAGAAGCAGGCAAAACAGCCCAGGGGGTACAGGCAGTTACTATCAAAGCTAATGCTCCTGAGTTCTACCACTGGAACCTAAAGAATGGAAGGAAAGAACTAACCCCAATAATTTGTTCATTATCCTGCCTCACACACACATATACACAGAGACAAGAATGAATAAATGAATAAATAAATAAATAAATGTAAACAATAGAAAATGTTTTTTGTGACATTGTATTGCCAGTTTTGGTATCAGTTTACACAATGCATCTCCTAGCTTCCGACACATTCACCATCATTCTCTCATTGTTCACAAGCAGTTTTTAAGAACATAAGCATTAAAATTGAAGTTCATGTAGTAATATAAGCGAATAAAGTTGCAGACAATTTGAGGGGAACAAGTTTAAAAGCTAACTATGAACACTGATGGCCAAGTTCATCATTTTCAGATTCATAGATACAGAGCTATCTGCTGTACAACAACGTCCAACGAGATGGCAGTCACTGTCTGGCAGCATACCATGGGTATGCTATGAATGTCTCATGAAGATAGACTCAGAAGAATACATGAACTATTTTAAGATGATATTCCTCAGAGAACCAGATGTGCTAAGGATGGTATCACACCATAGAGATCAGTCTCAGCTTGAAGTGGATAAGAAATGGGTATTATTTCTAAATTTGACCTATTAACTTCAACAACTCGAACTCCCATTAATTCCCTAACGCCTAGGATGATATGATGGAACTTGAAGAAGGTGGACCACTCTCTTTTTCCATGCCTACTTTATACTAGATGGCATACAGACACTGTGAGGCTGTCTATGAAAGATGCAAATATTTACTTGCTGATACTTCCAGCATTTATTCCTTGGCATCAGATCTAAGAGTAAATATGTGTATGTGTGTACACACACATGTAAACATACGCACATAGGGGTGAAAGGCTTCTATTTTTAAAACTATCTTTAAATAACACGATTTGAACTCATCTGCTGGTATCTTCAACATCATAACTTTGTTTTGAAGTCATGGCACACAGATGTGCCTCTATTGGCAGCAAGTGTCCAGTGTGGAAGCCACGCCACCAGCGCCAAACATTCTTCTTGTTATGTAATCACTTAATTAACTACAGATTTCTTTCCTTCACAAACCAATCTCAAGGTTTTTGTTAAGGCTGTGACTGCCCTCTACAGAACTTCAAACAACCACTTCCTCTTTCCTCCCACTGACATGGACTTTGTGTTCTGATAACTAATACCTCATCTCGGTAGAAACAGCACACTGTCATCAGATGGGAATACTGTGTCCCCTTCTTGGTCCAATTGTACAGCATAAGGAAATACAGGTATTCCACAGTTTCTCTAGTTTTATCCAATCCAACAGTGCTATGTTCAATGTTTAAGGATTCATTATGGATTTCTCTTATGTTTTCTTTGGTTTTGCTAAGATAATTAGCAGGAAAAAGGCACAGATAGAAACTTACTGACCTAAACAATTTCATTTTGCATCTATAGAAAGCGCCAGAACTCGGTAACATTTTCTGTCTTTTGTGGTTATGTCTTTAAATCTTACCACGGCAAGCAAATGTGAAAATCCTTAAATTGCTCTCTTCAGAGTTCCCATGTCAACTGGCATCTGCTCAGGTTGGAGATCCTGCCAAAAGTCAAAGGAAAACATTTATGAGACAGAGCCTGATGGCTGATTATTTAATCCTCTGTGTCCAGCACTGCCAGCAAGCAAGGGCTGTGAATGCCTGCTGCTGCTTTAATAATAAACCCTCTTACACACAACTGAACGCAGTGTACCAATGGATGCTTCCCCCTGCTCTAATAAGAGACCGATTATTGATCTTCACCTAGATGTTCCCATTGAGACCAGGCATTCATGAATACAAACAGCAAAGAAAAATGGCACAATGCATAATTAGCTTTAATAAATAGGGGCATAATTTCTATGGAGAAAATGGTGGTCAATCTAATTTTAATGAGGACAAACAGGCTTTTGCTTAATAGTGCATAAGAGGTATAAGGTCTCAGATACATTCAAGAGCCAAACTAAACAGCAGCCTGCAAGTTCTGTCTCTGCCCTTGGGATAAAACTTTAGAGGCTGGGGTGGACTACCCTTCTCTGACCACACTACTAGGAGAGAAAAATATGGACCCAGAAGTGGACCCAGAGAAACAAAATGAGATGAGTCTATAGGGAAACCTGAAAGTGCAAAGATGGTGAGGAGGAATTGAATTAATGCTCAATCAGCTCTTGGAAACTAATTAAAAGACTAGAGATGCCTTAGATTAACAAAAACAAACAAACAAACAAAAGGAAGACTCAAAGCTTGGAGACATAGCCCAGTGGGTAAGGTGCCTTTCACAGAGGCATGAGGACATGTGTTTGATCCCCAGTACCCACAGAATGGCTGGGCATGTTGCATGTCTATAACCGTGGTGCTGGAGGAAGGGACAGAGACCAACTTACTCAATATCCTAGCCAATCTATGAGGATTATGTCTAGCAAAGAAACCTTGTTTTATAAAAAATAAATGCAAAGAATAATAGAGAATGACAGCCCACACAGACCTCTGCCCTCCTCCACACACATTATAAGCACAGGCCTACAGCAAGAGCACACATAGACATGTCCCCACAGTATTCCACTACACAAAATCACATGCACATGCCTTCCCCATGAGCATATATGTGAACAAATCTCCATACACCACACACATGCACACACACATACACATATACCTCTTGAGCACGTACACATAAGCACGTCCCCATACACCACACACACACACACACACACACACACACACACACACACATACCACACACCATTCATCGAGAGTCTCTGGGATCAATCAGTTCCACTCTGAAGTTCCAAGTCATTGTCTTATGAGAAGGTACACAACAGGACAGGACTGAATTGCTCATGCATTTGAATTATGTAGTTGTTGTTCTGAGATGACAGAGAACCTATTGCCTTGTTTGAAAAGGATGAAATATGCACACATACACACACACACACATATATGTGTGTGTATATATACATACATAAACCATGCAAGATATTTTACAATTAGAACACATCACATGTAGCCCTTCTGATACAGACTGTGTTTTAGAATCGTATCTTCATGCTAATTTCCTGCTGGGAAGAGAAGACAAGCTTTATATCTGCTGGGTTTTTTGTGAACAATGTACTTGATATTTTAATTTTTAAGACAAAAAAATTGGGCCATTATTAAGGATGATAGTTTTCATTGGTGAGTTTGGCAGAGTTTGTAAAACTGTAGGTTCTTGAAGCTTTCCTTCCTAACGACTCTTCATCAGAAAACTGGGATGGTTTTGAGATCAGGCCATCCTGTCCCCCCTCACCCAGAGAGCCAGCTAAACGCTAAACAACAGAGGCCACATTGACATCCAGTTAGGAGGAAAACAGCTTTCGGTGTTAGCTGATTCCTTGTGTTCGCTGATTCTACCATCAAGCAGAAGTGTTTGTTAGAGGCAACAGCTGTGGCATTTAAAAGAAAACTCGCTGTTTTAAGACTCGGGAATGGCCATCAACAAACTAGATAGGGTTTGTGTATATAGTGAAGATTGCCTCACATTTGTTTCCATTGTGTTTTGAATAAATGGCATTATTAAATCCAGGAAGCCTGACACACACACTCTACAATGCTTTGCAAGAGGTGGTTGAATTGTCTACTGAGAGAGTTTGCAAAGGTCATTTGTTTGTTTGTATGGCACATTTGCCTCCCATCTTATTGGATACACCAGAAGACTCAACTTCACATCAGACTCATGAGTGGACTCTTCCCCACAAAGAACTAGCAGCCTTTGACTGTTGACCTCAGGGAACTGGCTGTAGTCTTGTTTCTGCTTCTAACGGACTTTTCAGTCTTAGACAAATGCTATCAGTGTCCATTGACCGCCCACTTTTTCCTTCTGTGAAATCAGAACACTAATCTAGGAATTGCTGAGTATTCTGTCAGCTCCAGCATCCTTGGAAATGCAGAGAAAAGGGGTGTGGACCTGGACAGTATCTCTAACTTGAAATGTGCTTTTGGCTAATGTTATGGGGAAGGAAATGAAGTCCATAAAGCCATGGCACTGAAGTTATTGTACGACCAAAGGTTGGACCCGGAATTTCAGCTAATATATCAATGCATGCTTCATTCTAACCCACAATAAGTTTGCACAGCTCTATTCCCAGCGCACACTTGCTCACTGACCAAGGAGAGTTCCTGGCAAGCTTTTCCTTCCTTGGCTGAGAGAGGGATTCAGTGCATCCTTTGGGGCTCTCTTTCAGATTTTCTCAGGGAGAGAACATATGCCCAGGTCCCAGGAGGATTCTTCTCCCACACTCACAGCTGCACAACATATGAGAAGAAGTTATATGCAAACTTAAAACATGCTCAGTGTTTATGAGAATGCACTGGGAAACATTCAGATGTGTTCCAGGCCATTTCTATTATCAAAATATTGCTAGGGTATCTTCTGGATCCTTCCCTGGACTCAGACATCAGTATTTTAAATTCACCACAGACCCTCCTTTAGTTGTCTAATGTTCATCAATTGGCTAGCACACCTTTCAAGAACAGTAGGCTCCCATTGCTTTCCTGTAGAGTACTGCCTTCTGGGGGTCTGGGGGTGTATACTGGAGTGAATGAAGGGTGTACACTCCTCACGGGACAGGCGCGTGCTCCCTAAGTTGTCCTCTTTGGAGTTTTCAAGCAGGTCAGGAGCGTATTTGTTGTCTTTGTGTAAATCAGTTTACTCAAATCACTTTGCTGTGCCTTTCTGAATTTTCTCGACACATCTCTGCTTATCAAGACATCACTTGCCCACTAACTTTCAAATCACACTCACCAATTTTACTCGCCAAGTACTGTTTTTATCCCGCTGACCCAACGGATACATAGAACAAGCCTTTTATTTATCTCACAGTGTGGAAAAGAGACAAATTTTACATGACAACTGGTGCCCAATAGTACAAATCCATTAGCTTAGCTTTAGTTTATAGGTAGGGAAAGTTTTATCCAAAAAGAAGCTAGAGAGTGGTCAATGAAAAGAGTTTCAAATCAAAGGAAGCTAGAGTAGATAGAATCTTTAGATTTGTTGAGTTTTCCGTTTGCAAGACACTGATTTTAAAAATACATGTATACACACGTGTTCAGTACTATGCTATAATATTAAATTCAATTCTCAGAGAACCCTACTCAGAGGATAAATTATTGTTCCCAGTTTACATACACAATAAGTAATCCTCAGAGAGGGTAAGTAACTAATAAGGTCAAATAGCTTCCACTGGTAATTGGCAGAGGTCATACTCAGTCCACCCCAGAATTTCTGCACATCCCAGACTGCAGCAAAGGGTTTCTTAACCATTACCCCTTACCACTTTGTGTCTGGGTACCAGATACAGAAACAGAGTGGGTTGATCTATTGATAGACAGCAGGCCCATGACAGCTTGGTCACGATCTCATTCACAGCCCTACTTCCAGGACCTATCCTTCCTTCCATTTTTGTGGAATGAGAGCACCGATGATTGGATGAATCTTTCAGCATCCGAGCAGGGGAACCTGACAGGCAGACTTTGCTAACTATGTCATATCGCTTAGCTCCAGCAGTGATTATAACTCAGTGGTTGGAAAATGTGAAAGTCTAGTTTGCCACAGTAGACACCCACCTTCCCCCAACCTTATGCACCTCCCATGAGGTATGTGGCGTCTTCTCCCATTAAGAAAGTGGACAGGAATGGGGATGACGAATGAGCGAACCTGCCCTCTCTGGAATAGAAACAGTTCTGTCCCCATGAGTGAACATTTCCCAATACTCTCATGACAATGACAATCTAAGTCTATCTTAAATGACAATAATTCACCATACTCTATGCTTATTTGGTTAGTTCTTAACCTTTAAAAGTATCTTCACATGTACTTTTGCCAAGTACCATAACAACAACAAAACTAAGTAGTATGGCACAGCCTTCATTTTAAAATGGCAGTTACATTGAATTTTATTTTAATTTTGGTCATTTTTGTTTTGTTTTGTAATGACCAATGGAAATGAGCTCATATGCAAAGTGAACAGCATAACCTCCTGACACAGACAGGAAGTTGTTCCTCAGTGTTGACCATAGATGGGTTCCAACAGTGCCTACAGGTACCTAACTCTGGATGTCAGGTCCCTTAGATTTGAGCATAACCTGTATGTATATTGTAGATATATTTGAGCATTACCTGCTGCATATTGTAAACCATGTACAGGTTACTTATAATAATACATAAAACCATGCGAGTGCTGAGTAAGCATTCATTCAAATGTTGACATGTCCAGTAGAAAATCACTTTTTCATGTATTTTCAATTGGTTGCTTCAGCATAGAACTGTTGAAGAGAGGAGTGGGCCCTTTTGTTTCATCCTGCCTGGCAAACTTACACCAGAAATAACCACAAAGAAATTGTATTAATTAAATTACTGCTTGGCCTATTATATCTAGCCTCTTATTGGCTAACTCTCACATATTAGTTTAACCCATCTCCATTAATGTGTCTTGCCATTTGACTGTGGCTTACCTGCATGAGTCTAACTAGCATCCGTCTCAGGCAGGAGAACCATGGCGTTTGCCACACTGCCCTTCTTCCCAGC